TCCCAAAATGAAAAGTCCCAGAAATTATATAACCATATTCCAGAGCTCCCAGGTCAAAAAGAAAATACTTCTCCAAGTCATAAAGAAACAATTTAAATATCATGGAGCTGCAAGATTTAGCAGCTTCCATATTAAAGGATTGGAGGCATTGGAATATGATATTCTGGAAGGTAAAGAAGAGTAGCTGAACAAACTGTAGTGTATGATTTTGATGGAATATTATCGTGCTATAAGAAATGGCAAGCAGAATGCTTTAAAAAAAAATCCCTGGTAAAACTTACATGAGCTGATGCAAAGTGAAATGAGAAGAACCAGGAAAATGTTGTGCACAGTAACATAGAATAGAATCTTACTTTGATGACAAAGAAGATCAAAACATACAACCAGAAGAATATAACAAAGTCAAAGCTCCTACATCCAAAGCCTCCAAGAAAAATAGTGTGGAGAATGTACTGTCCCAAGCTTCAGAGGTTTTGTGCAGCTGTTTTCAGAATCACTTCTAGGGACCTGTAAATTTTCAGTTCTTCCAAGGTGATATGATCAAGGGCGAGGAGTTTACTCCTTTCCTGGCCTAGGCTTAGAGCAAGAAGGGCATATCACTTCCTTCAAGTCAATTTCAAAGATTAAATACATCTTAAAATATCTTTGTTTCCCTTTACCTATTGGGGTTCCAGTACTATCACTTGTCATCCATTTGATCTTATAAAACATTTCTCTGTCTCCTTTTTTTTATTTGTAAAATAAGGGAGCTGCAAAGAATAAAGGTTCTCTAAGTACCCTTCTTGCTCTAAGCCTATGATATTATGATCCTACAGTAAGTCAACAGAATTCTTCAGATACAGGCATAAGACAGATCTTCCTCAGATATGAAGTTTTAAAAAATTACAACAGATAAGGTTCTAGGAATACATGTTGTTAATGTTCTGACTTTCATGCAAGTCCACATATATAAAGGCTAGAAGAAAGGGTCAGGTAAAAAGAGGGAGAAAAAAATGACTTCAATCTTTAACTAAACAGAACAGCATAAAGAATATAGAGGAGAGCTTTCATCATACACTTTAACTCCCTCATACTTCATCCACTGGAACAACTAAATTCAGACAACTTCTATTTTGAGGACAAATTTAGTTTTTGGTTCTTTGTCTTGTTTTGTTTCGTTTCCAATGGAAAGAGCTCAAAATAGCATTAAAAATCATATACAACATTTGAAAGACCAGAAATAAGAATCAAGGTCTCTGAAATATGTCATTGCAGTTTTTTTTTTCCTTAGGGTTTCTTGGAGTCTACCTCTTCTCCCTCCCTCCCTCCTCCTCCTCCTCCTCCTCCTCCTCCTCCTTCTCTCTCTCTCTCTCTCTCTCTCAGTCTCTGATTGAGAAACAATCTGAACAAGTCTTAGATGTCTTGGGTATCTTGATTCCTAGTCTATCCACACTAATATCTACTTCCTGCAAGGCAGCAACATCAATAGGACAACTAAAGTTACTCAAAACTGACTACTGAAATCAAGGGGACAATTCTCTAGTATCTTGCAATTAATGGAGGTTACTTAGTTGGCTTCTGTTTTCAATTTTCCTAAGGGTATAACTATATCCGGAATTGTTTCCCAAGTACTTCCTTAAGTATTCTATGGAAGGAAGAAAAGAAGGAAGGAGTGAGGGAGAGAGGAAAATAAGCATCTAATAAACACCTACTATGTGTCAGGCACCACGGTAAGTCCTTTACAAATATTATCTCTTCCTTTATTATCATAACAGCCTAGAGGTAGATGTCATTATTATTCCCATTTTACAACTGAGGAAATGGGGCCTATCAAGCAGTCTATATTCAGATTTCGTCTAGATAGTGAGGATACCCTGGCTTTTAAAATCTGAACAGAAGACTTTGTTCCTCTTGATAAGTGAGTCAGTATGGCAAGCAATCTAAGCTTTGAGAAAAGGGGGCAAGAAGCCTTCAGCTATTTAGAAAAAATAACCAGGAAGTTCACCATCTTCCAAATGGAGGAAGTACACAATGCAAGGAGTAGATAGCTAGATTCTTTCCTAGGTGTAAGCAGAACTATATGGCTAATTAAGAAAAATTTTTAACTTGAGTAATTTTCATAAGGCAGATAAGAGGAGGTGGATGGCTTTTTTTTTCTTTTTGTCAGGCACTAGGGGAGTGTGACAGCTTTTACAAGTTTTTCTTCCAGTCATAAAAGTGTTTTAATGGACTGAGATGCATTTAATAATACAACTACCACCTGGATGTTTTGGAGCAAAGTACCACTAGGGCCCATATAATATTAAAATTGTATTTTTTACCTGGGGCCTACAAGACTCCATGTTCAAGAATCTCACCAATTAGAGACAATCTGGAACCAACTTTTCACTTTTTTTTTTGTTAATCCAGGAAGTCTGAGCTCAGACTCATACAGCTCTGAAATTGGTTTCTTGCTTTTTCATTGGCTGCAATGTTTTCTCCTCTTGCTTCTAGAGCTTCAAAAATATGATTTAAGAACCTCTGAAGTGCCACCTTATGTCTGAGGCCTTTTTTGCTAACCTCCCACCCCCCTACTCCAAAGTCTTAAATCTGCTTTGTTTGCATTTTATAAACAGCTATTTATGTTGATGTTCTCTTCTCTGCTATATTGAGATCTCCTTAGGGGAAAGTATAGTTTTGTGTTTGTTATTGTATGTCCAGTGCCTGAATTTGTTTCTCATGTGCATAGTAGAAACTTAATAAATGATTGATTAGTTTATTGGGAGAAACTTTTGTAATTCTCAGTGATTATCTGAATCTAATTAAAAATATGAAAAAGTTATCCAAAAACCCTTCTGGGTAGAGGAAATTATTCTTAAGTCTTACAATTTTCACAGGAAGACCCACTCAAGTTCATGATTTTTAAGGAAAGATCACAGTTCTCCAAATTCCAGCTAAAGTCTACATGTCACATCTAAATGTATAATATTTATACATTAATAATGTATTTAATATAAAAATAATATAATTAATAATAATAAAATAATATGAAGCTCTCCAACTTCAACCTTTTTTCTCCAATAAGGCTATCCCTCCAATATCACCCAGAATCCACCATGCTCTTTCCTCTCCTCAAACTTTAGCCATGTTTTTTTTTTTAAATCCCTCACACAGAAGGTACTGCTTCCTTCTCCACAGATCTAAATCTTATTCTTCATTCCAGATCCATTCGCCTCCATGTGGCCATCCTAGGCCGCTACTACATTGATTTTGCATTCCTCTGAACTTCATTTTCATCCATTTTCCCTATGACTTATTTTCAGACAATCTAGAATCTGGAAGGAAGGAGCCAAATTTCACATTTCATTATTTTTACCTCTCTTAGACCCTCCCACAAAGTACACAACATATGTCAATAGTTTCAGGGATCTGTGATTTCATCCTTGCTGGTATTAATTCCATCAATGCATTTGAAAAACTTCAAGTTTTAGTAGATTATCTTCAAGAATTATTGTGGCTAAAAATTCATTACCCTATTGTCAAGGGGGCAAAATGACTTCTTTCAACAAGCTTGTACTCAAAAAATAGATATACATAGTCTATCAGTTGGCAAATATTCAAAGCCTTTCCAGCTTGGTAGGACCTGCCAAAGTCTATGTTAGCATAGACTTTAAAGATCCTGTGTCAACTTTACACAATAATGAAGCATCAAAGTAGTCCTTCTATGGATTCACATAATCAGTCACTCAATAAAAAAATGTTGAGTTAAAAAGAAACCTCACTTTATTAAGGTCTGTTTGATTAGTTAGCTCAGAGAGGTATCTGACATTGTTTCTCAAATTCATTTCTTGCCAGATGAATAAAGGCAGCTATTATTTCGATTCCTTTGCTGGAAATGGTAAGGCATAAAAAGTTGAAATAACTTAACCAAGATCACACGAAGCTTAAATTAAAAAAAAAAAAAAAACAAAAACAAACAAAAACAACCCTGGTCTCTTTATTCACTGTTCAGTGGGCTGAGAGATGACACCATTTTCAGGGTTTTAACTTCCTCCTCCATAATTTAAGAGAACACCATAAACATCATTTGAAGGAAGTACAATTCAAGGAGAGACCCATACATCAGAAAAGAGGAGGCCCTTCCTCCACCCTGAGTCCTTACCAACTATGTCAGTAAACCCTGTACAAACATTAATTTATATAGAAAAAAGATTAAACAAGTAGAAGAAATGAAGCTAATAGGGAATGAGGTGGGAAATGCGAAGCTAAGGTTAAGGTCACATTTTCACACTATTCTGTTGTCACTTTCAGCAGAGCATTGTACATCTCTGTTTCTATTAAATAATCCACAAAATGGGTATGACTATACAAAGCAAAAAAAAAATGCATAAAAGATAGAAGGACTTATTTCTCTCTCTCTCTCTCTCTCTATCACACACACACACACACACACACACACACATACACACACACACATAAAGGAAGGTGAGAGGGGAAAAATAAATGCTAATTGAAAAATAATTTGTTATTTTTTGAAAACAAAATATCCCACCAAAGAGGAAAATAAAAGGCTGTCATAAAAATAGAAGCAATTTTTAAAAACAAGAGTGTGTATATGGACCATGGAAAACACTCTGACAGATCACAATGAAATCTCACACTACTAACTTGTCGAAATTTATGGTGGGTTTACTGTTTGTTATCATCATCATCATCATCATCATCATTTGCTTCACCTTTAATCCTAAAATTTCCTTCCTTCTTTTCATTTTTCTGTGCCATCATGTCATGCAGTATGATCCTGGACATATTAGACACACGATTACTAACTGAAATAATTAAAAAATACAGCAGTAAAGGACCTGACCACAGACTAAAATTCAGATGAAAAGAGGTCTGAAGAAGGGGCAGTGGAGTAATGACTTGTCTCTGTGATGGGCAGATATCCTCTTAAATTCTTATCAGAACTCTGCCAAATATCCTAAGGTTGGTTTAATAACTAAAAAAACAAATTTGACTGGGGCAAGAGAAAGATCAGATACCTGTGGGGATTTCCATGGAGCGTTCTGTCATTTTCTGGATAACAAGCCTCAGCATCCCATCCTCCAGGTAGAGCAGCAGGATTCCAGAATCCTCTGACAGCGCTGTTGACAGGAGCAGACCATCTCTGTTCCAAGTTCGAAACTGGAAACTAACTGAGAGCCCATCAATTTGAGGGGTGCCGGGCAGTAACAAATAACTGCTACTGGAGTTGACAAACGTGATGGGAACAATTTGTGGTTCTGAGCAGGAAAAAGTGACATTGCCCTGGAAAACAATAAAAAAGCAAACCCATAAAAGCCATTTTTTATTCTACAATCTGACAGCTGATATAAACAACAACCAGAAGCTGACCTTAATTTCAGGATCACTCAACATTCAGCTATGAGTTATTAAAAGAAAATATGTCAAGTAGACTCATAGGCACAAGCTAGGTGGTTGTAGGTTTCTGTTTGGAGGTTCACAATGCCATCTGACATCCTGGGACAGCTCAACTGGGGAGCTTGAAAAAAGCTTTAAAATATTTCTAAGCAATTGAAAAAAGAAGATACTTTGCTGGTAAAAAATGGCCCAAGAAGAAATCAGCAGATGACATGCTTATAAAGAGTATACTGTGCCTAGATAATTATTAAATAACAGATCAGCACAGTGTTCTTAAGCACATATATTATTCACACATATGTATATAAATACAGTATATACATCTATGTGCACTTGATGCCAAATTTTAATCAGTTGACAGTCAATCAGTAAATATTTATTAAACTCTTACTATATGTCAGGAACTGTGCTAAGTACTGGGAATACAAATAAGAAATATGATAGACCTTGCCCTCAAGTAGCTTATAATCTAATTTGGAAAGGCAACATGTAAAATGAAGCAAAAAAGGAGAAAGGAGGAAGGTCAAGACAAGTGTAGCTGGATGGAAAATGAAGAGATGGCTGGTCTAGGCACCCTCCTTAAATGGAAGTTCTGAGAGGAGCTCTTTCCACTTCACTCTCCAATCAGAGAGGTCCCAGGATCAAAGGGTACTGATGAGGAGAGGATATCAAGGCTGATGTGACAGAGAAGGTGATGAAGTTCCTGGAAGCATGATGGATAAGTTCAAAGGAATTCAGTCAGTTTGGAATTTGTTAATAGATTTAGAGCTAAAGCGATTTAGAAACCATCCAATTGCACACTTTTTTTTTTTTTTGAGGAAACTGAGGACCAGGCAGGTGAGGTAACTTGACACAAGTAGTAAGTGGCAGGGACATAATTTGAACTTATTTAGCTTCTTAGCTATTCAGTATCATATAGACAGAACAACTAGTTAGATAATTACATATTTTTCTTTTCAAGTACACAGCTGTGTTGAGATTAGGTAGAATATTACCATTATGACATAACAGAAGTAATTAATAAAGCTAGAGTCAGAGGAATAGTGGTAGACCCATGATCAAAATTCCTCTGCAACATCATCAGTATAACTATTATTATCCAACTCAATTCCAGAAACACCGAACAAAATCAAACCTAAAACATTGTTAGGTACCTTGACTTAGTGGACAAAGTGCAAATCTTAAAGTCAAGAAGATCTGGTTTCAAATCCTACTTCTGACACACTAGCTAAGAAACCATGGATAAGTCACTTTTATGAGTCTCAATTTCCTTATCTATAAAATAGTGATGAAAATAATTCAGATGTTACTTCCTTCAGGATTGTTGTGAATCTCAAATTAGACAAGTCCTATAAAGTACATTAAACATGACATAAATATCAATTACTATGAATATCATATCTATGTATTTTATGATAAAATAAATCATGTCTTTAAGTAGTTGACCATTTTTTTACATCTATGGAGTGCCTGGGAACTTTACTTCAATAAGAGCTATATAGAACCAATTAATAATCTCAGTCTGAATCCTTTGAGAACTGACAATATAAAGCAAATAGTATGCACAGGGGCACACATAATGGACATGGACAGCTATGAGGCCCATTGGATAGAGAGCTAGATCTTGAGTCAGGAAATCTGAGTTCAAATCCATGTTCAGGCACCAACTTGCTGTATGACCCTGTGTAAATTTTTCCCTGCCTCATTTTCCTCATGTGTAAAATAAAAACATTGGAACCAACACCTTTAATGTTGATTCCAGCTCTAAATCTTACCTTGTGAACCTCACTAGAATCAAATGTAATTATATGAAAAAAATATATAATTCCCTTCTCAGTCCTCAACAAACAAAATATATCATAATTAGTCTATTCTTAAAGAATTATCTACAGGAAAACCTTATGTAACTTGGTAAACAGAAGAATTATATAAAGACTTCATTGTTCTAAAAAAGCAATGAATTTGGATAAGCAAACATGCCAACTTCAACTAAATGCCACAACTACTCATATATCCTATTTTCCATTTTCATTAGGTACTAAATGCTAATCACCACAACAATGCTGTGTGTTTATTCAAGTAAATTTAACACATTATTCTCTCTGAAAGATCCACAAAGGCATTCCTGAGGCAATAGTGTATACCTTTTAGCCAATACAGAAAGACAGCCCTTGGGAGAATACAATGGGACAGATATCCCCAAGCAGTCCCAGAAACAAATAGTGGTTATGCAAAGGAAAACAAAGTGATCCACGAAGTAAAAGCTCCTAGGCCTGAAATGGCAGATAAGGAAAATGAATTTCTCTAAAATTTAATTTTCCCCAAAGGACAGGCTGAATTGTAGAGTAAGAGGTTAGTAGAACTCTCATAACTCAAAAAGGTTAGAACTCTTTTCTTTTCATCTTTCTAAATCAGCTTTACAGCTACAGTCAATAAAGTTTTATCTTGGAAAACGTGCATTGCATCTACTACATATTAACAAATTCCAGCTCCTTAGGTTACTGAACACAAATACTGCATCTCTGTTCTGATGCTCTTCTTATCACCACGTCTAGAAGCTTTTGTCTCCAGTATTCTTTAAGTGCCTGTAGTAACTTTCTCAAGTAAACTTATCACTTCGATAAATTCTGAGGAAAACTTAACCCAAAGATGAAAACATTGGACAGGAAAAATTCAACACTCAGTTCTTTGTTTCTTCAAGTCTAAGGTCCTTATATAAGATTATAAGCTCGCCAAGGGAAGAAACGGTATCTTGATCTTTGAATCATTCCTCACAGCCTACTGAACCTACTAAATAGTACTTACTTAGGCCATAAATACAATATGTTGTCCTAAATGAACTGAACTGAATTTTTGCTTAAGATCTGGACCTGTGCTAATTGTTCTGACTAGGGAGTGAAACAAAGAGGAGTAAATGAAAAGAAATAAGAGAATAGAAAAATGAGAAAAGAGGTAAAGGCTGGAAATGATGAAAGGGAGAAAATGATGACATGAAAGAAGAGAAAGAAAATTAATAGTCTAGGGAGCTGTCCATCAGGATTGAAAACATTTTTTTTAAGATACACACCTGTGATTTCATCAGAGTGGGGAACTCCCTGGGGCACCTACAAAAATAGATAACTAATTTCCTGTCCCCATTGTCATTACGTGACAGAGGACTTCCCAAAGCTGAGGATGGCTGACTATCTACTTAGCTCAGTTGCCCTTTATAAATGACACAAATGAGGATTTGGGAGTATTTTCTCATTCTTTCACATTTCATTTTTTCTGGTTTTGAAACATTCTTACTTATAACCTTAATATGTTCTAAAGAAAACTAAGAATTGTTAGAGACAGAAGTCCAGTGACTAATCTGCCTTTCGACAGAAATATGACCACCAATGAAATTTAATTGCAGAGGATGACATAGTTCTTCTTTATTTCCTAGAAAGGAAAACACCTAATCTATCTATACATTAGATAGACCTGACGACTTCGAGTTTGTAGAGAGAAATGTGTTATGTGTATGTAGTGGCGGGGGGTGTACGTAATGATGGAGATGAAAAGAAAGAAAAAGTGAGGAGAAGAAAATTTTCATTCCCATCATTTTTAAACTCAGTAGTTCAATTGAACTGAAGATATCTTCTTATCTAAACTACTCCCATTTGACATACAGACTTGAACTATTTAGCTCCCAGAGGGAATGGGGAAACTGGAGGGAAATTACTTCATTCTTGGTTGTTGAATTAGATTCACAAACACATGGCAAGAGTCCAGAGTGCCCTGCTCAAAAATGTTGTGCTCATTTAACATTTAATGGAGGTAGAAAGGAATGAGGCAGTAAACATAGTCCAGAAAGGTACAAAGAAGTGTAACAATATCAAAGGTTTCTCATATAGAGTCTAGGGCCAAGAGCTCTTCTTCATGATATAAGACATTTCAAAATTAGAAGAGTGTTGACTTATAATAATGCTCTTTCCCTTCTTTCACTCTGCTTCTATGATACCAGTCCCCCAAGGGAATAATAGTCAACTACTGGCAAATAAGTACTGCTCAATATCAGGCCTACGTTGTTTTATCATTTCTGTTTTACAATCAAATGCTGGCAAATTCAGACTGTGCAATGAAATCAGTGTTGAAGCATGCTCATATTTTTAAAGTTGGAAATCCTTCACACATTTTTTTAATGTAAGACCGCATTTCATCAAAGTTCCATTTTTTTTCTTCCTTATAAACCCCAATGTATGGAACTAAACAGAAAAAAAAAATAGTTTCATGTAAAAGAACTGGGGAAAAACATATGGCATCAAGGATAGATTCAATGTTTAGTCCAAAAATGACATAGCCTATGAATACCATGGCCGTCAATACTACTAATCTGATCAAAACGGAATGTCTCCGCCTGAAGAAAGCAGACAGATCTATTTCTCTCTCGGGCCCAACACAATCTGTGGGGATCAGTTGTTCATCCCTGCCTCAGTTCTTCTCTTTTTGTTAGAGGAGAGAGAGGTCTTATTCTGAGTATCCTTCCGAAACTAGAGAGGACAGAAGTAGATTCAATGAGATTTTTTCTTAACTTGGGGTCTGAGAATATGACTATACATATACATATGTGTATACACAGTAATACATATCTATGTGTATATGCACACATATATATGTACCTACATATGTGTGTGTGTATACATATAAATTTATATATGTATGTATGTCTGATGTGGAATTGAAGAGGGAAATATGAAAGGTGGAGTGTCAGAGAGAAAGAAGTCCAGTTTGACTAAATCGTTGTGCAGGAAATGAAATAACATCTCTTGGAAATTATTGATTGAAATCATCCTACTTGAGACTAGAAAAAGTTAAATAGGAATTTGGATGACCCTGGAAGTCTTCTGACTGTTCTGCTTACA